ATAGCGGGAAACAAGGAAATAACGAAATAAAGTACAAAATGATTTATTCTTTAAAATAAAGTTCTCTGTTCTACCGTTATTTCTAAATCACACTGAAAAGCAGGTTAGACACAACAGTTTTTTCTAATTTCCCATTATTAAGGAAATTAAGGTCTAACAGATAAGGCTTTATCTGTTTTGTAAAGATAAGCCATGTTGGAAACCAAGCAATAAATAAATAGCAGACCGGACTTCATTCTATGAATACTGTACATCAAAGTCACATCCAGAGGTTGTTTTTTTTTTTAAGATTAAGCTCAGATGAATCTGAAACATCAGCTCAACACAAGAAAAGGCATTACTGCTCAGTCAGTACTTCTTGCCGACTTTTAATAATTCCGGTATCTCTAAACCTTGTTATCAATCAAAGGCATCCGTAAACCTCTAAGAAATTACCTGAGCCAGGAATAGCTGACATTAAGAATGTGAAAGTTGAAAAGAAAACATTTTCTTTCACAATTTGTTGGTTTTGTGAATATTTTCAAAGTAGAACAGAGAACTGGGTGTGCTGGATCACTGCTTGTGGGGCATATTCAATACTATCTCCTGTTTAAAATTGTTTCAGAGACCCTTTCATTCTTTGCTGAAATGCAAGTTTTGTTTTTAGCTGTTGATTCAGAATTTTGATTTTTCTGATTATGACCCTTTCCACCTAACAGATGACTGGTTCACACACACACAAAAGGAAAAGACTGGACCAACAATTTCAATTTACTCTGAAAGGGCATCTTCCCAAATTTAACTTTCAACTTAATTATATACATGGAAAAAATGCTTAAACAAAGCAATGTCATTTAACGTGGCTTCAACACAAAAATAAACATAAGAACAAAAAATTAAGATAAGGTCCCCAGGATCTAGATGAGCATGCTGAAAAGGAAGTCTCCTATGTCAAAGGAGTTATCCTGAATTCTGAAGCCAGAAATTGCCATCTGAACACAATTCATTAATGAACCAACCTACTCAACACAAACCAGTAAATACCTACTTATAATACAGATGAAATTCACACAGCCCCAGGTCCCAAAACAAGCAAGTATCATTAGCAATTGAAAGCCAACTTGCATAACAAGCACTATAAGTGATATAACAAACTTCCCTTACCAGTATCGTAGTAGTTGGCATTTCTACCCTTCATCTTCCACTAACCTAAAATGAAGTATTTTAATCTAAAGTTTATTTTCTACCGTTGCTCTACACCACCAGAAAAAAAAGGGAAAAAATGACAAACCAAGAAATTATGAGTAAAATATGGGAATGTGTGATTCGGGGATATTTTAAGAAACGTAGTTTTTTTTTCATTTGCTCCCCTCTCTTTGTCCTCCTCACCTAACTCCCTTTCACATGCATGCGTGTGCGCACACACACACACACACACACACACCTTTCTGCTATAGAATTCAGAATGACCTACAGATTAGGAAGCAAGTCATGATCATACTTTGATTCTATGGGACAGAAATACCCAAACAAGAATTGGTGGATGGTAAATCTAAGTTTAGAAATGTGGTCATCTCACACTTCCACTGTTCAAAATCAACAGTGAATCTTGAGTGTTGTTTGGACGTCACAGAACCTACTGAAAAAAAAGAAAAAACCCTGTGTGCTGCTTGTTCTAAAGAACAGCAGTGCTATGGTATGCATTTTTTGTAGTGAAAGTAGAAAATTCTGAGGTGACTCAGAATTAACTTAATTTTCAAAGTCACAAAACTGAAGTTAAATTGTGGTGGAAAACAGCTGTTCATTTATTTTCAGGGATAAACATTTGGGTAACATAGTGGTAACAGGAAAAAGGCACCCGATTATTTAGTGAACTTCTTCCATTTCTCATCAAGTGCTTGAAATATTTAAGTCTACTCCCTCATTCTCTTAAGACGAAATGAACAAATTCAATATTTAGCACATACTTCCTCAATCATTCATCTGCCTTTGAAACTCCAACAGAGAGCAGTCCTTTAAAAGAGTTCATTTTTGTTAGGAAAACCTACAAGCACACATCTGAATATCCAGTGCAGTTAGCACAGGGAATTCCTGGAAGGGTGATGGTGCATCAAAAGGTTTGCAACTCTGCTCCGACAGAATAATAAAAACCATTTAAAAGACTGTAAATTCAGCATCAATGGCATTTCCGGCGAGAAAACATTTCTGAAATCCCACCCCCAGTTTATTTCTTCATGACAGAAACCAAAGGACCTCACCATATCAAGTTCCCTATCTATGCACATATTTCAGACAAAGTGGAAATCAGTCGGTAGGATTTTAAAAATGAGAAAAATTCATTTTCTCTTAGAACTTTTGCAGTTTCATTTGCTTTTAGAGAAAAATACATATTAGTAAATATAAAAAAAAAATGTCCCCACCATTCCAGAGGTAAACTCTCCTTCCCCCACCTTTTTAGTAAGTCTTCTGTGAGCATGTTAAAAGAGACAGTGAACACTAATTGTAAAACAGGACAAAATGCTCATTGTTACACTAAAAAATAAAGCATCCCTCGACAGTCTAATGTTTCCTGTATTTTCTTTTAAGCCCATCAGACTGTCAAAAGTCCCATGTGTTTGCAACAAAAAGGAAATGTTTGTAGCACTAAATAGGACTGATGTAAAATATTAAAGCCACCTCAGCCTAAATGGATTGCTCAATAACAGTCTTTTAAATGGTTCTGACCAATTGAGGAAATGAGACTATGAATGGGAAATTTGATTGAGTTAAAATTACCATTGAGTTCTTTAAAATGTACTAATGAATAATTAATAGTAAATGCAGTTCCTAGTCTTCCCTCACAACAATATTCTCAAGTAGAACTGAAGTCTGAAGCAAAATCTATCATCTATGTGTTATGCACAGGTGGGTACAGGAAGTATGCACACACAGAAAGACATTATGAAAATACACGACTGTGGGCTGTAAGATCTAGGGTTGGGTAAAAAAGAAATATCGCTGTGGTAAACTTGGGATCAGATCTGCAACATTCACACATTGGTACCAAAACCAGATCTCCACTTTGAAAGCTTGAAAAGTCAAAAGCAGTAAAGAAATCCTTTGTTCCTATGATACTGTCTCCTACCCTAACTGGATTCCAGCCCTTCTTTGTGACACGGGGTTTTATCGATCTCAAACATGTTCACATTCAGAAATTAGTCTCCAAAGACATCCCAAGGGACTACCAACCACCTAGATACCACACATCACAGGCGTCTTTAAAAAGGACAAGAGCTCTGAAAACACGTCACTATTTGGTCAACATCAAGTGAAGTTAACCAGGCTCTCCTCTAAACAGACTTTTCCCTTAACTGGTAAAAAGAGCAGGTCTACTGAATTGGCAATAAACTTATGGAGGTTCAGATCCACCCCAAGATTCCTCTCATTCAACAATTGAGCGCCCGAAGTGACCTATATTCAGGATACTTTCTTCACACCTGCCAGGTCACACTGTCCTGACTAAGAAACTTCTTGCCGAAGCAATTAATTTTTAGTGCCTCCTAACTGTCCCGGGTGTTTGCATTCAATTTGAAATCTGTTACTTGTTAGACACTGTCCTAGATCTTTCAGAGAATTGCGAGTTTATGGCGCAGAGAGGGGAGGAGGCAAGGTTCTCCGAGAGCCTGCCCTTTATTCGGAAATGAGATGTGAAAGGTGGAAGGCAGGGCAAATAAATAAATAAATCGGGTTTGCTGCCGGAGCGTTTGCCGGCCCGTACGAGCACCCTTTGTAATGCGGGCCTCCTGGGGCTATCGCCTGCGCTAATTGCTCCAGGGCGCTTTCCAAGTTCAAAAGTTCACCTTTTACGACCTCACAAAAGCTCCTTACACGTTACCAATAAAAACATTCCGCGGCAAACACCGAGGGGGGAAAATATCAAACAGATACAAATAAAACGTCCCGGAGGGGAAGGGAGCCAGGGGGGCGGAGGACGAGCCAGCCCCAGAGACAGCCCCGAGGAACCTGAGGACTTCGCCCGGACTTAGGGGCAGGGGAGAGAGGCCGGAAGGGCCGGGCCAGGTGAGGAATTTTCAGGGCTCAGGGTCCGAGACCGCGAAAGGGACGTGCAGAACTGCGGCGGGCGGGCGCGGACCCGGACCAGCCGGTAGACGGAGGGGGACAGGTGTCCCGAACACCGGATCGGGCCAGAGCTCCGAGCCAGTAGAAAGTCGTCGCCTAACAGAGAAGGGGAAGGACCAAAGAGAAATGGGGCGCGGAGCACGCAAAGGGGTCGGAAAAGGAAACGCTGGCCGAGTAACTAGCGATTCGAGGGTCCGCGCAGAGGTCGCGTACGGGGGTGGGGGCGCAAGGGAAGTGCGGAGCTGCAGAAGCGGCTCCAGAAAGGTATGGGGCAGCGAGAACCAAGGGCGTGGTGTCGGGTCGGCAGAACCGGGAGGGAGCATCAGCGGAGGGAGCACCGAGGGGACTGGGGGGAGGGGACAGCTCCGCGCGGAAGGGACGCCAAGGCGGAGAGGCCCCCCGCGGAGAGTACCGGGGCCGGGGGATAGGAACAGGAGGCTGAGGCAGAGGAGACCCGAGGGGGAGGGGAAGCCCCCACTGACGGGACGCGAGGTGCGGGGCTGGGGGAGGATCCGGGCTGAAGTGACCCAGGGGAAGGGGAGGGCTCTGCTCCGAGAGGACCGGGGGAGGGGGAGAGGGGTGCGCGAAGCAGGGACCCGAGGTGGGGGTGGGGGGAGGATTCACACACAGGGGCTGGGGGAGAGAGGAATGAAGGTCGGGGTAGAGGGGACAGGGGGAGGATCTGCGCTGAGAACCAGGAGGGAGAGGGAGGGTGCGCACTAAGACGGGGGAGGAGAGGGAGGGTCCGCGCTGCGGGGACCGGGGTGAAGGTCCACGCCGAGGAGACCCGGGGCCGCTGCAGCTTCCCAGAGTACTAGCAGGCTGAGAGGGGAGGTGCCCTGGGATCCGGGGACAGAGAGCCGGTTCTTGATCGGCCCGGACTCCGCACGCCCCTCACCCACCGTTGCGCGGCGGCGGAGGGAGCGCGGCGGGCGGCTCCAGGAACCCCGCGGAGCCTCCGCCGCCTCCCCCTCCGCTAGGCGGCCGTTCGTCCCGCTCCATGCGGTGGTGCTCAGGGCCCGCGCTCGGTTCGCTGCTCCGCCATGACTGGTCCCCTCGTCGTCCGCCGCGGGGAGGGGGCTGTCAGGGGCCTGCGGGCTCCCGGCCGCCGCGCTCTCTGGGTCCCGAAGCGCCCGGCTCCGCGCCCCTCCGCGCCGCGCCCCCTCAGCACTGGCCAGCTCCCTCCCCCGACGTCACGCGCCGCTGCCACGCTCGGGCCTGCGGGGCACGCTGGGAATTGGAGTCCGCCCCGCGAGGCCGGCCACGCGGGACTCCAGCAACTGAAGGGGTGGGAAGAACGATTAGCACCTCTGAGGAGGGAAAGCCGAGGCCTGTCTCAATCGTACACCTTAATGAAAACTTCTGTCAAAATTTAACATATTGCTTCAGGGCCTTTTCTTCATTGTGATTTATGCACGGTCAACTTTTCCTGTGACTCCTGCATCTCCCCGCCCCGACAGTGAGTCTTTCCCTGGAGGTGGGTCGCCAAGGAACCGGCCGAGCACGTGCAACGAAGCCCAGCCCTGGGGGCGGGGCTCAGGGGGGCGGAGCTTGAGGTATTTCTGAGGGTCTCCCTCCGCGGCTTTGGGACAAATTGGACCGGAGATTAAAGGGCCGGAGTTTAACTCGAGGTGACTGCGTTCGTATGCAAATAGAATCTATAAAACTCTCCTTTCCGGGGTACTCTTTAAAGGCTTTTACCTCCGGGTGGGCGGGAAAGACTTAAGTTTCTCTTCCTCTTCTTTCACTTTCCGCCTGCCCGTTGAACGGAAAGGCAAACTAAGCTCCAGGCCATTGATGCCATTAAAAAAATTCTAAAGACTCTTAACGCCTGGTGTCTTGACGCTCTCCGTTTGAGAGACTCCTCACCCATCATCCTCGTTCCCCTTCCGTTCTTAGTTTCCCTGTCTGTGATACGGAGTTGGACTAGGGACGGGGTCCATTTGGAAGGTCCCCAACACCCCCCAGCCCCCGCGCCCAGCTGCCTGCCTCAGTTTCCCGGATTTTATAGTCTCTGCTCTTCTCGGCTGAGCCCACCTCCCGTGGCCACCAGGAGGCGTGCGGCCATAAGCCTTGGGCCTTCCGGCGCGTCCGCCTTCGGCCACCGGCTCACGGAAGGACTCGTCGTGGCTGCCGCCCTAGGTCGAAGACCTCACCTGGCCTGCTTGAAAACAAAGAACCAGAACACGGATGCCTTGCCCGCCTCTACTCTGCCGGGTTCTGCCTCGGCTTCCTCACTGGCTGCTCGTTTCCCGCCCTCTCCCCACGCCGCTCCACCAGTCCATTGGCCCGTCTATGTCATTGCTTAATTTTCAAAAAGTCCTCATCCTGGCATTTCAGTCCCTGTCTGGTCTGACCTCTGCCCCTTCCCTCACCTGCTATGCAGGAGGTTTTGCAACTTTCCTGCAGTCGCGGGTTCTTACCAACAGGAGTTAACCTGTACTGTGTTACCCTTAATCTGTGTCGGCCACTGTTCTGAGAGATTTACATTAATGCAACGTTGCATGAACCTGACACCCATTCTGTGAGGTAGCTCCAATGTTGTCCCTTTTGGACACTGATGGAGTCACCTAGCAGAGGTGGGGATTCCAGACACCAGAACCTGGATCCTTGGTTCCTCCAAGCTGGAATGCTGCTGACTTTGCCCCACTCCCAGCCCCTCATTCATCTTCCACAGCCCTGTTCAAATATCTCCTGGGACACCATCCTTAATGTCTAGAGGACATCTAGGTCCCCTCTGTGCTACCTTAGGGTCCTGTTGAGTTCCCCGTGGGCTGTGAGAAATCTCTCTGTGATTGCTTCCCCACTACCAGTGGGGGGGGGGGAGCCCTTAGTGTGGGGGGAGGGGTCAGCGTGGGACAGAGGAGATGGAACCTCTGAGCTGTATCCTTAACTCGGGGTTCTAACCTGTGTCCGGGCCAGAACTGCCTTTCTACCACAGGCCTCTGCAGAGGGACCCTTCCTTGGAGATCTCACCAGGGGCTTAGGGCACTGCAGAAACCCCCTGCAGCCCTGGGGTCTCAGTGGTGGACAAAGAGCCTGACTTGAATCTAAGTTCAAAGGTGGGCAGAGCCCTAGCTCAATTGGTTGGAGTATTGTCCTGATACATCAAGATTGTAGGTTCAGTCTCAGGTCAGGGCACATGTAAGAAGCAACCGATGAATGCTTGCATAAATGGAACAACAAATTGATCTCTCTCTCACACCCTTCCTCTATCTCTCTCAAATCAATCCGTTCATTTTTTTTTTATTAAAAAAATAAAAGGTGGGCAGAGAGTTAAGCCAAACACCCAGCCCTGGGAAACAACTCACCCTTCAGACCAGCACCGCCATCTCTCGCTCCCAAAGCCTTCCTGGAATCTCCCTGCTAGTCAACCCCCTTCTTTCTCACCCTCATCATTACAACTGCAACTGCTGAGCACAGGGCTTGACCATGGTAGACACTCAATAAATAATTGCTGAGTGGGTGGATAAAACAGATCTGACTTTTCCACATAATAACTGACCTCGGGCACTTGACCGCCGAGCCTCAAAGTCTGGTTCCAAGGGGGTGAGGGATAACAAGGATAGTTGCTACTTCACAGGATTGTTACAAAAATTAAATAAGATGACGCATACAAAGCAATGAATATAAGGTCTGGCCTAAGAAATGGGACCTGTTACTAACGTGACCAATGTATAGAGTAGTCCCAATACCCAGTTACCACTCTTCCAAAAATGCTTCTTAGGAGGAATCTACCACAAAACTGAGGAAGGTGAGGGAAGTGATGATGGACTCAGTCCCTAGCCACTGTCCTGAAAGGTACACACCTACTACACGCTTACCACCTATTACGGATTCTTCCCCCACCAGGGTCCCCCGGCAATCCTAAGAGGTCAGTACTTCCCCCCAAATTTACAAATGAGGAAATAGGGGCTCAGAGAGAGATGCAAAAGACTCTCACCACCAGGAGCACTCATGACTGACCAGCTGGAAAGGAAAGCCTCTCAGGATAGGGAGAGGTCTGCAGGGAAGTGGTCCTGAGGCCAGGAGCAGACAGACTAACAGGACTAGACAGGGATACAGCTAAGAACAAGGCAGGTGTGAGCCCCTCATTACGGGGCCCTTGCCCCCACGATGGGGGAGACAGGCACTAATCACACCAAATAATCACACAAACCCACAGCCGCACGTAAGTGCTACAATGGAACACGCTTAGGAAGTTCCTGGTGCTAAGGAGTGTGTGACAGGGCTCAGTTCCCCCTGAGGTGCTGATCAGGGGAGGCATATTGGGATAAGGAGCATTTAAATTAGATGCCAAGGACGACTAGGAGTGGGTCAGGCTGCACAGAGAGCGAGCTTCTGGGGAAGGAGAAGTGTGTGCAAAGGTCCTGAGACCAAGCTGGAACCGACAGAATCCATGATGACTGGAGCCCCCTCAGGGAGAAAGGAGCAGGAGAGAAGGTGGAAAGGAGGAAACCAGAAACCCAGAAACCGTGGAGCCATGTGGGGAACAGCCAGCAGGGGGCAGACTTCTCCGGTCACAGCAGCCTTGCTCTTTGAGGACCCCCTCGCCAGAAAGTCGGAGCCAGGCTGCCTGGGGAGAAAGGGCTGGGAAAGGAAAACGCCTGCCAGGTTCCGTTTAAGTGCCTTTCGTCTGTTGTTTGGATAGATAGGTCATACATTACAAAACCCCCTGGGTCTAAAAAAAAAAAATGTATTCACTGAAAAGTAAGCCTTTCTCCTCACTCTGGTTCCCAAGAGCTGGTTCCCCTCCTTAGCCATAACCACTGCCTCGATTTATCATATTCATTCCCAGATAGTCTGTTCCACCAATTTTCAACAATTTTCATCTCATGGCACACATAAACTGGTAACTAAAATTCTGCGGGACACCCACAAATATATTTTTTGCTAACCTGACCAAAAAAGAGGTAGAATTTTGATTCATTCATACCGGACAGCTATTGTGTTGGCCGCTGCCATTTCTTTGTTATTTGACCATCTCAATGAAAAGAGGTCAGTGCCACCGACTAAGTAGTCAGGTACTGCACGTTTTAAAAATGCTGGCAGCACACCGGTTGAAAATCACTGGTCTCTGCACATAAAAGCACACACCACATTTATTTTTTTTTACATTAATCTAGCCCTGGTTTTGACACCTCCCCAGGGGACTTCTAATTATGAAAGAAGCTAATTTATACCGAACACCTATGATTCTTTAATTCAGCTGAGACTTACGGAGAAGCAGACCTGGTGCTAGGCTAGTGGTTCGCAATCCTTCAATTCCCTGGAGAGTTTGTTACAGCACAGATTCCTGGACCCCGCTAGGGTTCCTGCTTCCTTAGGTCTGGGGTGGCAGGGCCTGAGCATTTGCATTTCTAACGAGCTTCCAGGTAATGCTGAGGCTGCTAGTCCCCCCAGCCACACTTCAGGACCGCTGAGCTAGCTGCTCCTGGACGAAGTGTGTGCACTGGTCGCTTTATTTCTCTTCCACGTGGGAAGGCACCAACGACACAAAGAAACACACACCAAGTAGATCATTTCATCGAGTGATCAATGCTACAAAGAAAAGGGATGTGCTTGCGAGGGTTGTGCTGGAGAGTAGGGGTGAGGTAGGAGTGGCGGGCAGCAACACTTGTGGCACGAGTAAGTGCTCCTTTTTGAGAGGTTGAAGTTTACTAGTAAACAGACATACAGGCGGATGCCCTGTCTTGGGCTCAGGGGAGGTCGCCTACAGAGACAGGGTGGGGAGGGAGGAGAACAGGTGCAGCCCCACCCTCCCCGGGCGCGCCGAGGCGGAAGGACTTGCTAAAGTGATTGAAAGGGGGCCCGGGTGAAATTCGAGGGGCGATCCGAGAGAAACAGAGAGGAGACGGTTTGAGGAGGGGTGATCGTGAGAGTGTAGACAGGTGCCGCCTTGAGCTGTTTCCAGGAGGTCCCGGGGACCCCAACGAAGCATTTCCACGGTGAGCCTGAGGACCCCTGGAGCGGGAGTAGTGGCAGGGAACCTGAGGAGTGGCGATTACAGACGGCTCCTCGGGAAAGCTTTGCTGCCCAGGTGTCAGACAGATGAGGCACTTTGTCCTGAGAATGGGGACCACAGAGGGCGTTTAAAAGGTCGGAGCTGCTGGGGGTTGACCGGAGGGCTCTCGAAGGGAGGAGGAAACGGAGCACGCGGGAGAGAGGGGTTTGAGCCACGAGAAGGGTACAGCTGGCCGTGCCCAGCATTTCGAAAAACCAAAGTCCTGCCTGCCCTGGAAACCGCACTCATCTCCACTTCACACCACTCCAAAAAGAAAGCACTATTTTCTCCATTTTACCCGCGAGGAAACTGAGACTCAAAAAGGTAAACAGACACGCCCGAGGTGCCACCCCGAACAGGACCTCAGCGCGTGTGGGGAGCCGGTGCTCCTCTCACTGCCCCCGCGGCTCCCGCGGCTCCGAACAAGTCCCTTTTTTGTGTCAGGACAGGGATGCCCTTTGGAGAGCCGCCCAGTGGCAGAGGCACCGTAGCCAGCTGGCCGCGCAGGGCGGGGTGACCCCCTCCACCCTAACTCCTCCCCCTGCGGCGCGGGAGGGGGCGCGGGGCGGGGAGCAGCTGGCGGGGGGCGCGCCGCGCGGGCAGAGCTGGAGGCGGCCCCGAGTTCGCAGTGCAGCCCGCGATTCCCAGCGTCCGCGCCCAGCTGTCCGTGCCCGTCGTGCCCGTCCCGCCATGGCTGTGGCCACCTTCCCTCCCTGGCCTCTGCCTCTGCTTCGGCTGCCGCCGCCGCTGCTGCTGTTGCTGCTGCTGTGCACCGACCCGGTGCGCGCCGAGAGTAAGGTACTCGACCCGGGCGCAGCTCGTCAGGGAGCCAGGCGCGAGGGGGCGCTGTGGCGGGAGGGCGGGTGTGCGCCAAGGAGGGTGCCTGAAACCCGGAGCGGAGGACCAGTACAGGGGAACCCAGACTTTGGGCTTAGCATGGAAGCCACTGGGGCCAGGACCCCGGGAGAGGAGCGCATGGGGAAAGAAGCACTGGAGATGATAGTGGTGCTTGGGACCCGGAGCCTGAGGAAGGGGCGCTGGGACCCAGTCCAATAGGGAATGGAGGTCAGCACCGAAACGCAGGACCTGGGAGAGGGGGCGCTAGAAAGTTGGAGGGGTCTCAGACAGGAGATGCAGTCCGCAGCCGAGGGAAGGGATTCCCAGGAGCCCGGGCACAGGCAGTGTGGAGATCCGGCGCGAAGTTTTCGTGGAAGGCTGACTCCCTGGGTAACTGCTACCCAGCGACTCCCAGGTTTGCAGCCGCCCCTGGGCCAAGGCTTTCAGGCCATGCTGGGGATCCAGTATCCCTCCCCAGTGAACCCATCTGGACTGGCCACGTGCCTGCCAGGGATCCCGCGCACCCTCTGGAGGACACTGTGCCTCCAGCAGTGACGTGAGCTGTGTTCCCGTGTTGGCTACGAGGTTCTGCCTTGGCGTTTGTCCAGCAGATCTGGGTTCAGAGCCCACCTTCACCTCTTAGCTGGGTGACCCGGGTCTTCACCTCTCTGAGCCTCCACTTCCTGCATCCTGCATCTGCGATCTCTATGTTAGTGGAGATCATGCCTGTAAAATGTTTAGCCCCTGCCCTGGCATCTCGTAGGTAACCAATAAATGATACTGTGATTATGAAGTCTCACCACAGGGACCCTGAAAAGGAGGGTGAGACCCAGAATGCAGAGAGAGTAAGCACTTACGGTGTCAGAGAGGGGCCCCTTGAAGGTGATCTGGGAATGAGCCAATGAGGATGAGGACAGGGCTGGAGCTAGGGAAGGGCAGGAGGGAGGGAGGGCCCTGCCCACCCAGCAGGAGAGCGCAGGAGTGATTTCTCTTGATGTCTCTCCAGCCTCTTTTCTGGAGAGAAGGGAGGCTGCCCTGTCCACAGGCAGGAGCCAGGAGCCACACAGTAAGTATATGAGCAGTGGGCGCTGGTGACGATTCAGCTCAGGGTATGAAGACAAGTGGGCTGCAGTCCCGGCCACATGCTCTAAAGACAAGAAGGGAAGGAGTATCGTTCCCATTTTATAGATGGGGAAACCAGGGTGCATGGACAGGCAGCTGGCTTGTGAATAAAACAAACAAACAAACAAACAAGCAAACAAACAAAAAGCAACCCCCTAGCTTCTGGCCCTTTGTTGTTCTCTGACTGTGTGACCTTAGGCAAGTCCTTGCCTGTGTTTGAGCCTCAGTTTCCCCATCTGAAAAACAATGTCTCCATTCCCCTCCATATAGGACCTTCTAGGACTCCCTGACCTAGCTTAGGTACAAAGCCCCCCCGCTCCAGATAACCTGATCAGCGCTCTGCCCCTCTCTTCTGTCTGGCTGGGAGGAGTATCTGGTCTCGGGCATCCTCTGAGCGAGGCAGAGAGCAATGCGGCAGCGCTTGTGGGGGAGGGCTAGCATTCGAAACAAAGGGAAGACAAAGAAAACCGAACACCCTGTTTATGTAGTGAGTCAGTCAAACACTTGCTAGGTTGGGTGTGTATGTGTGTGTGCATGCGTGTGTGTGTGTGTGTGTGTGTGTGTGTGTTTAGTTGTCCCAGGGCAAGATGGGGCTGGTGGGGTGGGGAGGCACATCCTAGGGTTCAGAGGACCAAGCAGCTGGGGGACTCAGCACAGCCCTCCCCCAGACACTTCCCACCCCACACTGCTCCAGCCAGCTGGGAAAAATAAAAATCAAGTGATGGGTGAATTTACTTCACATTCCTCAGCACAGCCGGACTCCTGCTGGCTCTGTAGAGGGCTGTTTTCATTATCACCCTCTCCCTCCCACATAGCAATCCTTCCTCTCCAAGCCTGTCCTGTTTTCCCAGGTTGTGGGGGGCGGGGGGAGTGGTCCTTGGGGCGGCCAGCCTGGGACTTGAAGTCTATCTAGGGCTCCAAAGGATTAAGCTGCCCCCCACCCCGCCCCCGCCTCAGGCTTTCTGCTCCTAGGAGGTCCAGGCTCCTCTCCTCCCCAGTACTTTCTGGGGTACAGGGGCAGCTTCACCCCAGCCCAGGACAGAACTCTGCAGCCCAGCCAGCAACTTGCTCAGTGTGTGTTGATTTCGTGTTTATAGCAAGGTCTCTCCTGATCAGCATTTGAAGTTTCCATGTAAGGAAGTGCTTTGTCCAGCTTGGGAATAGGAGAGGGAGTTCACAGCGTCCCTGGCATTTCTGAGGAGCACCCGGCGTGGAGGTTGGTTGGAAGGGAGAGACAGGTAACCACGTGAAACCCAGCCATGGCACTAGAGATCTCTGGGAACCTGCTTTTGTGCTGAGCATCCTTGGAATGTGGCTAATCCCCCATTTCTACCTCAGTGTCTCCATCTGTGAAAAGGCTGCTGGTGCCTCACTCCTCCGTGAATTCGGGTGTGGAGAGGGGTCTTTGGCCAGCCCCGCCACAGGGCCCGAGGATGGGGGGAGGCCATGACTTGGGGGAGCTGGGCCAGGAGAGCAGGAGCGGCTGGATCAGATGTTCCAGCCCAGGCGGGTCCCCGGGGCTTAGGTGTTGCTGTGCCTCCGCTCCAGGAGTTTCCGCCTGTGGGTGTAACTGGAAGCAGGCTCCGCAGTAGGCCAGGGATGCACAGTGATGGAGACTCGCACACAGAGAGTGTGGGGCCAGCCCCCCAGGGTCTCTCTGCAGGGAAGGTCCTCCCCAACAGTCCCGTGGGCTAGGGGACCCAGGAAGGACAGCCCTGAGACACATCCCGTGTGCCGCCCCCCATGCCCAGCACTTACATGCAGGACCTTACACGACCTTCCTGCCAGTACTCTGAGGCTTCAGTGGCCCCTCCCCACCTGACAGACTTGAACACGGAGGGGCAAAAGAGTCAGGGTGGGGCTGCCCAAGTACCCTGGAGGGAGCTGGAGGAGTTTGGAGAATCCGGGGTTCCAGGATGCTGGGCCTTTGGGGGGCATCCAGATGGTCTGGGGAGCTTGAGAGTCTGAGGCGAGGGAGATGGAGCTGAGGCCAAGGCACCTGCATCCTGCATGTGCACCCTGGCTAATGCTGAGCCACATCCTCCCCCAGCCGAGGGAGAACTCATGGAGATGACAGGGAGTCATGGAAGTTTGTCGAGCAAGAAAGTAACAGGTCATCGAGCAGGAGCTTCAGGAAGGTTAATCCAGCAGAGAGGAGGTTGCTGGGTTGCCCAGGTAGCAATTAATGCAGCCTGAACTCAGGCTGTAGCCACGGAGTGAAGAGCAAGGGAGAGAGACGGGAAATACTTTTGGGGGAAGAAGCAGAGGAACATGACTGATGGGTTGTCCTGAGTAAGGAAGCTCAGAGATCTCGGCTGGGCAGGAGGGTAGGTGGACTGGGTTTGGGAGAAGATGCTGGGTCCTGTTTTGGATAGATGCCTGTGGGCAACCAGGAGGTGGTGTCCAGCCCGCAGTGACCTCTAAGGCAGAGAGGTCTCTGCCTGCAGGAGAACATGGGAGCTGGCCATGAGAGGAGAGAGAAGGTGTCACAATTTGGACCCGTTCCATTTCTGGAACATTTCACAGCTTCAATCCTCCCCTTCCCAATTCTAGCCAGATTTCTCCACCTCTCTTCAGAAAAATCTCAAGGACGCCCTCTCACCATCTTATTGTGGGATTTCCTTGCAAGTACCTAGGGACCTTTTTAAACATGATCCACCCACTCTTCCGGGGGCTTTGGCAGTCTGTGCTGAGTGAGGCTGCAGGGGGAGATGAGGGGCTGAGGTAAGGACTTTCTTGCTTGGCAGTAGCTCCAGCCCTCATGCCCAGGGCAGGTTGGGTCAGGCCCAGTGGGAGCCCCAGGTCCTATGCTCCCTCCTGGCCCAACCCAGGACCGCCATCTCTGTCCCCCGTGCCGAAGAAGCCCTTGCCTGGTGACTGGCTGGTCATGGGAGGAGCAGCATGTAAAACAGATCTTGGAGTCAGGCTGTGCTGTGTGACCCCAGGCAAGCCCCTTGACTTCTCTGATGCTTACACTTCTCCTCTCTAACGTGGGGTTGTGGTGAGAGCAGAGAGAGGCAGAAAATGACGTGCAGGTGTGAGGGAGGGGAGTTGGCAGCTACTGTAATAACCTGTGCCACTTAGAGAGCGGTCCCTCTGTGCCAGGCTCGGTGCCAGGTGCTCTGTGTGCATTGGCTCATTTGGGCCTCAGGACAAGTTTGCAAGGAAAGGACTGTCGTCCTCCCCATTTTCCAGAGGAGAAGGCTGAGGCTCAGAGGGGTCAAGGCCCTGCAGGAAGGGGATGTGGGAACTGGGATTGGAGTCCAGGCGTGGCTTCCCACCATGGAGCTCTGCCTCCCGCAGTCGAGCACCACAGGACATAGTAATCACGGGACATCGGGCCCTGCCTGATGGGCTCCTGGCAGCTGGGGCTGGGAGCAGAGGCCCTCCTCCGCCTCCTCAGGGCATCAGGGCTGCAGCTGCCCCCGTCAGGAGGTAGGACTTCATCCGCAGAGGGGAGGAATGTCGCGGTCTTCTGTGGAGGCTGCTGCCGCTGGGGTGTGAGTTGAGATGAAGGACAGTTCCAAAGGCGGAGGCCTCCCTGGCCTGGCCACACAGAACACACCCACGTCCACCCGCTGGGCTCTGAGCCCAATCTGGGGGCGTGGGTGGACGTGGCTGGGATCCCGGCAGAGCTGGGAAGGGGTCCAGAAGTCTTGAAGAGAAGGTGCTAGCGGTGATCCGAGGAATGAATGTTCAGGACACCAAGCCCGGCCGCTGGGAAGACGCGCCCTGCAGTGCCCACAGTACCCGCTGCCCACAGAGGGGCCAGGACGAAGCTTCCACCGTAGCTGCCCCCTTCCCCACCACCCTCCTTCCCCAGGGGCCTGGGAGTCCACCCGTTCTGGGTTCTAATCCCCTTCAACAAGTCCGTGGATGGCTCTGGGGCCCAGTTTCCTCCTCTGTGGGGCAATGCTAAGAATATCTACCACGTGGAGAAACAATGGGCCAAACAGCCCCCGTTCGGTATCACTGGCGGTTATAATAGCTACACTGCCCAGACTTCTGTGTTGCTTCTGGCACTGGACTCGGCACAGTTCTCGTGTTCCATCTCAGTCCTCACGCCGCCCTGTGCTGGGTAGGCGCCAGTAGTGCCCTCCCTTTACAGCCGAGGAAACCGAGGCACAGAGAGGTTAAGCCCATGGCTGCGTTCTAACCATCACCCCACCCTTCCCCAGCACGCAGCGAGTTCCCAATGAACGTCTCCTCCCTGTCCTCCGTGCTCCAGGTTCGTCTCCCTCACCTACCGTCTGTCCACGAAGCATCAGCTGAGAGCGCTTGCCATGGTGCAGATTCGCCTCTGGCTCCCCCCGATTAAAACCCTTCTGTGATGCCGGGGTGTTTTCAGGAAGGAGCCAGGATCCTCAGCCAAGCTGCAGGGTCCTCCATGAGCCAGGCGCTGCCACCCCAAGCCTTACCTCCTGCCACCCAGGAGGGGGGCTCCTCCAGACCCCCAAGATGCCAGGCTTGTCTTTATATATTTGACTCGCTCTCGCTCTTTCTGAAATGCTTCCTCCGTCTTAAAGATACCCCGGGGGCCGTGCTGCTCTGAGCAGTCTCCGCGGGTATCCCTGCGCTCTCAGACCTCACCGAGCCGGCTTCTTCCTGGACCTATTTCTTCCGTACCTGCAGCCCTCACCCGGGGGCTGGAAGGGGCCCGGGGCTCAGACAGGTGTCCGAGGGCCCAGAGGAGACGTGGAGTGCCTACGGCCCCTTCCCAGAGGGCCCTGAGACGCGCGTGGGTGCCGGGCTTGGCACAAAGCCCAGGACCTAGCTGGCACTTTGTGGCTTTGGGGAGAGCTAAGTAGCCATGAGCGCTGGGGTGTTTGTTAACTGAGCCATAAACAGCTGTGTCCCAACAGCCTGGAGCTGAGGGTGAGTGGGCTGAGCCAGCGAGGGAGGTGGCTGGTTGGGGCTCCACAGCCCCCCTGGTGTGTCAGGGCAAGGCCCCTCACCTCACTGCGCTGACTCCTACAGGCACCAAGTCCTGCTGCCCCAGTGACCGGTGACCACAGCTAGACATTTGGGTGCGTGGAGCCCTGGGGTGGGACTGAAGGAAACGGGAGGAGTCGAGGGAAGCCACTAAACGGAGGTCACTTTATTTCATTTGGTCCTCGCCACTGAGTGGCTGGATATGGAGAGTCCTCCATTCTACCAGCGAGGAAATGAGGCTCAGAGAGGTTCTGCAACCTCTTCAAGGTCACACAGAGTGTGAGGGAACAGCTCGGTAGGAGAAGCAGCATAGGCCAGTGATGTCGGTCCAGAGTCGGTCTGCAGCCAGATCTTCCCAGTCCAAGCTGCGTGACCTTGGACAAGTGACTTCACCTCTCTGAACTCTGTTTCTTCAGCTGTATGAATAAAGGCTCACTCTCACTAAGTGAGAAGCTCTGTTCTTTACCTATATTAACTCATTTATTTAATCTGTCGCAACTACTCCACAAAACAGGAGTGAGGAAACAGGCACAGAAGGGTTGAGTTGCCCACGAGTTCGCAGTTACTAACCCAGGCTTCAGCCGCCATGCCGTTAGCCCTGCACTCCCGCATGTCTGCAGAGTGCAGGCTCACTTACCCAACAGGTACTCTCAGAGCTCCCACTGCAGCCCAGGCAGGCACTGTTCTGGGGACATGCACGGGAGCTAGACAAAGTCCCTGCCTCTAAGGGTGCCTTCAGTAGAGTAGGGGAGACAAAAAAAAATAAACACGGATATGATATTTCAGATAGTGGTAGGTGCAATAAAGAAAAAGCCACTAGAAGAAAGGACCAAGAGTAATGGGAAGTGGGTGGTCAGGAAAGGCTTCCTGGAGGAGGTGACTTGTAAGTGATTTGAGGGGAGGAGCCAAGGGAGTGTCAGAAGGATAAGGGTGTCAGGATGAAGGCACCGCATCTGCAAGGGCTCTGAGGCTGCAGTGGGAGAAGGGCAGGGCGGCAAGAAGAGAAGGGGTGGAGGGACGAGTGTCGGCTCACGCAGGCCTGGAAGGCCGTCACAGGGACTTTGGAGGTGGCAGTGCCCTCCCCACACAGGTGTTATTAAAGGGTGTGACGCCCACGGCATCACTGGGATGTTGTGAGTGCCCACCGAGAGGTCTCCGTGTGTTGTTACTATTGTGGTAAAATGCACATAACACAAAATGTATCATTTTAACCATTTTAAAGTGTACAGTCCAGTGGCATTTTGTGCATTCACAGAGTTGTGCAACCACTGCCCCTACTTAGTTCCAGAGCAGTTTCTTCACTGTGAAAGGAAGCCCCGTGCTCGTTAAGCAGTCACTCCCCATCCCCCCATCCCCCCTAAGTCCCGGTAACCATTAACTGCCTTGTGTCTCTATGGGCTCGCCTATTCTGGATATTAATATCAACGAGACCCTGCGAGGCACAGCCTCTTGGGTCTGGCTTCTTTCACTCGGCATCATGTGTTCAGTGCTCACTCGTGCTGTAGCAGGTATCATTCAGCACCTCGTTCCTGTTCATGGCTGCATAATGCTCCACTGTGTGGGTGTACCACTGTCGTTTATCCATTCATCAGCTGACGGACGTTTGAATTGCCCCCACCTTGTGACTGTTGTGAACCATGCCGCTGTGAACATGTGTGCCCAAGTCTTCATGTGAACATCTGTCTTCAATCTTTGGGGTATATACGTAGAAGTAGAATTAGGGGGTCATATGGTCATTCTACGTATTACTTATTAAGGAACAGTCAAGTCGTTTTCCACAGCATCCACTCATATTTTAATTAGTGTTATTATAACGCCCCGTTTCCTTGTAAGGGCTGCTAGCTAATCCACCACCTCTGACCACCTGCACAAAGGCAAGGGGGATGGTGGGGGGAGGGTGGATCCTACTACCCCACCCTCTCCTCTTTTTCTCTTTCCCTCCCCCCAGCACTGGCCTTTGGCTCACCCAAACCCCTCTTTCAGGTCTTTGGCGACGTGGACCAGGTGCGGATGACCTCGGAGGGCTCCGACTGCCGCTGCAAGTGCATCATGCGGCCGCTGAGCAAGGACGCGTGCAGCCGGGTGCGCAGCGGGCGGGCGCGCGTGGAGGACTTCTACACGGTGGAGACCGTGAGCTCCGGCAGCGACTGCCGCTGCTCCTGCGCCGCGCCGCCCTCCTCGCTCAACCCCTGCGAGAACGAGTGGAAGATGGAGAAACTCAAGAAGCAGGCACCCGAGCTCCTCAAGGTAGATTTTCTCGGTTGGCAGTAGGGACGGGGAGCACTTTGTGGATGAGCACCTGGCGGGGGCTGGTGCCAGGCTGTCCTGCCAGTGAAAAGCCCTCAGCTCTAAGGCAGGTGCTGCTACTGTCCCATTTTGCAGGTGAGGAAACAGAGGCTCCCTGTCCCTTGAAGGGAAGCTGGTAAGTGATGGAGGCAGCATTCTTTGGCTAGTTACCCAAATACACAACCCCTGGCCATCTCGTCCAGTGTCCTGTACTTTACCCAAACCAGTTCCTCTGTTGGAGCCTCTATGTGATATTTTAAATTTTGTGATGTTATTGTTTTCAATTAGTAATAATATTTCCCATATTCAAGCGCCACCTGCCTGCTGGGTGTTGTGCCAACCTCTTTTCACAGATTATCCCACTTAATTCCTAAGCCACTCTGTGAAATACAGGAGCTTTGTCATTTTATAGGCAAGAAAAGAAAACTGAGGTTTGGAGAAATTCGGTCACTGGCCCAAGCTCTCACACCATGACCTGTGGCCTCAAGTCTACAGCATACTTTATGTGACTTTTGTGTCCACACCCTCCTTACTGCACACCATAGGCAGGTCAGAAAGAAGCACCAGTTCTGGGGGACACAACACAGCTCATGCCGGGGCCCCCACGAGGGCCCATGGCTTGGCTAGGCATGTGCAAGCCAGGTCAGTCCCCACAGCCAGCCAGGCACCTTTGTGCCATTCACACAAGCCTCAACTCAGGGCTTGGTGGGGCTGGGATTTGAACCCAGGTCCTGCTGTGTCCAAAGCATGCGTTCTAAATCACAGTGCTTTCCTGTCTTCCTTTCTGTAGTGGACCAGACAATTGTGGTGCTTTTGAAGCTATCCTTTTTTTGTTTGTTTGTTTCATAATTTCTTCCAAACATGTGGGTGTCAAGAATTGTGAAGTTCAGTGAGCTGTGACCCTACTCAAAAGCCAACAAGTTAGTCTGCTGTTGTCGTGGATGCTGGCAGAAGTCACAAGCCTCCAGGGTCAGAGACAAAGGACTTTATTTCTCAGAGCAGCCAGAGTTTCTGTATTTGCTTGCCCTGGTTCTCCCACTCGAACTCCCACAGTGGGTGCAGTGAGGGCCAGCTGACACCTGCACACAGTGGGGTGGTTTTTTGTTCTTTTAAAAAAATTTTTTAAAAATTATTTATTGATTTTAGCGGCAAGACAAAAAATGGCCCAAATGAAAGAACAGATCGAAGCTCCAGAACAAATAACATTGAACGATGAGATAGCCAACCTATCAGAGGCACAGCTCAAAACACTAATAATCAGGATGCTCACAGAATTGGTTGGGTATGGTCGCAAATTAGAGGAAAAAGTGAAGGCTATGAAAAGTGAAATAAAGGAAAACGTACAGGGAACCAACAGTGACGGAAAGGAAACTGGGACTCAAAAAGTATTGATTTTAAACAGAGAGCCGAAAGGAGAGAGGAGGGAGAGAAACAACTGATCTGTTGTTCCACGTGTTGATGCGTTCCATTGATTGATTCTCGTGTGTGCCCTGATCGGACATCGAACCTGCAACCTTGGTGTGTTGGGACAATGCCCTAACCAACCAAGCAACCCGGCCAGGGAAAGGTGGGGTGTTTTTCAAAAGAGGCGTCCCCACTCGGAGAATCCAGTCTGCTACAAAGGGCCCTGCGCATGCCTCCCCTGCCCGCGGCCCCAAGGCTGCTCCGTGTATGACCAGACGGCCTGGAATGCACAGCCAGTGCCTCCACAGGCAAGACATGAAGAACTGTCCCCACATTTGGCTGAAAATGTGTTCTTTACATTTAACTCTAGCCCTGGGCAGTGTGAGTTGGCTGGAGCATTGTCCTGCAGACCAAAAGGGCGCAGGTTTGATTCCCCGTCAGGGCACACAGCCAGGTTGCAGGTTCAATCCCCCCGTGGGGCACGTCTGAAAAGGCGACCAATTGCCGTTTTGCTGTCACAGCACTCGCTCTCTCCCTGCCCCTCTCTCTAAAAGCAATGAAAAAATGTCCTCGGGTGAGGATTAAAAAAATAAATAAATTTAGCTTTAGCTTTATTTTTGTAACAACTGGATGGATACCAAAACTCTCAAATTTGGTGGGGGGAGGAGGTTGTAAACTTTAGGCCAAGTGGCCCCTTGACATCTGGGCGGTGCCTGGACCCCACGGCCTCCTTGGGGCCTCGCGAGGGCTCTGCGGACTCCGGGCGCGGAGGCCATAGGCCCGTCTTCCGTTACAGGGACAAACCCAATTTCTGCCCAGGCCCACTCCTCAGTAACTAAATACCCTCCCAGACTACTGGGCATGAGGATACCCAACACCTTTTCATAAAAGCTGGCTGATTTAGGCCTTACCACCACCCTTTGGAGAGGGAACCTGGGTTCCGGCTTTGCTTGCGGAGGAATCTGAGCTGCAGAGAGGGATCTCGACTTGCTGACGATCACACAGGAAGAACTTGGCAGCACTGAGACTTGAACTCAGGAATTGTCTGCCATGGCCCCTCACCCAGGGGAGAGGTCCCCAGACAGCTCTCCCAGTCAGGAGCCCATTGTCCCCGGGGCCTTTTCGGTACACAGCAGCCTTGGGGTTCCTTTCGGCCTTATAGGAGTGGGATGGGATGGGGGCGGGATTGACAGCGGGTGGGGGTGTAGGAGGAAGAGAAGCTATTCCGCCTCATGACACCCTAGGAACAGAACCAGGTACACGAGGGGTACCCAGAGAACCCCAAGAGGAGAAGGGGACAGGGGAAGCCCTTTGTTTACGACAGAGGGCTGCGGCCTCACCCATGAGGGAGGGGGCACGCTTGCCTCATACCCGCCCCTTGCCCCTCCCCCATTCCTTCTCCTCCAGCTAAGAAACCCTGCTACGATTTGTCCTCAGTTGCTTGACTCTGAGTAGAAGTGAGGGGAGCCCAGATCCCCTTTCTTGGGGAGTTTGGCTGCGGGGGCTGTGTCTCGCCTCCTCACCCCTCTTCCTTGAACACACACCAGACATAACCCCACCCTTGAGGAATCTCCAGTCTTGTGGGAACATAGCTCCCGACCCCGATAATGGCAGTGTGATTGGTGCTGGGTTGGGGATGTCCCAGGGACTAGGGGAACCACGAAAAGGTGGTAGCATTAGAACTGGGCTTTGAGGGTTGTGTAGGAGTCCCTCCCGCAGAGCAGAAACGAGGGCATTCTGGGCGAGAGCAAGTGGAGTGTGCCTCTCTGCTGCAGCCCCACGAGCCGCCCGCCAGGGTCTCTGGCACAGCGCTGCTCGGACTATCTGTGACGAAAGGCCGGCTGTTTAAAAACTCTGTCAATAACCCGTCCTTTTGTAAAATACTCTAAAAATGCATTCTTAGAAAAATGACACATGCACGCTACTAGTCCAATGTTTGATTATTAAGAGTCAACAGATATAAAATCACTCTGTCAAATGGTTGCAAAAGTCTATGGAAGCCTCTCTCACTTTCCATAATCGCCTCATCACGGACAGTCAGGCCGAGCACGGTCCGCAGCCCACGCCCGGGGCGGCAGCACACCGGGACACACCATGTCTCTCCGCGCCACCGGCTCTTTGCACGAGCCGTTCCCTTGGCCTGGAATGCCTTTCTCCTGCCACCGTGGCTTTCTCAGAGCTCGCCTCCAACACAGCTTCTTCCTGGCAGACTTTCCTAATCTGTACCCGCTCCCAGACAAGGTCACACCTGGTCGTGAAGCATCTGGGCCCCTGGGTGTGACCGCCTGCGTTCCCCGGCCTGGGCACCACTCTGTTACTCTCGGCACGCCTGGCCAGCCTGGGAAGGACCGTGAGGCCTCGTGTCTGTCTCACTCATTGCCATCCTTAGTGCCTGGCCCGGAGTAAACGTTTGCTGAGGCTGAAGAGGGTCGCTGGGACAGACCAAGGACGGCCCAAATGCCAGGCTCAGGCGATGACAAGACACACATGGGCAGCGGGGAGCCACAGGAAGTTATCTAGCAGGGGACAGACTCTCGGTCAAAGCCGAGCTGTGAGGAGCCAGCTGCGGTGGCTGGAAGGCTCCCACTCAGCCCCTAGTCAGTCGTCATCGGTGCCCATGTTCACGGAGCCCTCGCTGTGTCGTCCTCGCTCCGTGCTGAGCCCTGTCCGGACCTCACTGCTGCTCACGACCCTGTTGACCCCTTTCACAGGGAAGGAAGCTGAGGCACAGGAGGATCCATGTGCATGTTTCTCAAACTATGCTCCACAAAGCCCCACACGAACCATGCAGCCTGGAGGCCTGAGCAAAGTCACAGGGGAGCCGAGAAGGCTCAAAGCGCCCCCCTGCTCCCACTGGAGCCCCGCCCCCTTCTGTTTTAGCGATCCGAGTCTACTCCGAGAAAAGCTCTCCGGCTTAAAACAGCTCGAACACCCCTGGGAGAGTGGGAGTTTTGCGAACTGTTTTGGAAACAGCGGGCTAGGACCCAACAGGAGCACTGGCCCGCGCAGGCCCTAAAGAACGCTGCAGGCCTGGGAGCGGGGCTGTGCTGGAGGGTGGGCTGGAGGAACCGCCCTGCCCAGGAAGCCAGGGGAAGCTGATTTCCCAACCTGTCTCTTGGGCCATGGTGCCCCTGACACCCTTGCTGGCATCCCAGCCATCGGGAGGGGAATGTCCTGTCCTGACCAGGTGTGACAGAGGGGAAGCGGGGGGCAGCTATAGAGAAGAGCCCTGGGCCGGGCAGGGGAGACCCAGCATCTGCCACTGACCTGTCCTGCGAGCCCCCCTTCTTCCTTGTCCTGAGTCTCCCCTTCTGGACCCAGGACAGAAGCAGTACAGCATGACAGAAAAGAGGTTTGGGTTTCAGCAAGCTGGGCTCTGCTCCCGGCTCCACCATGGGGCACCCGGGTGACCTGGGGCAAGTCCCTTCACCTGTCCAAGCTGCAGCCCCCAATCTGTATGATGAAGATAAAAAAAAAAGTCCTAACCCTGCCTGCGGCTGGGTCCCCAGAGGCAGACCCTGCGGCAAACGGTGTGTGTGCAGGTGTTTCACGAAGAACATGCTCCTGGAAGACACTTGTGCCGAGTGGGAGGCTCGGGCGCAGGAAGGGAAAGAAGCCCAGCAGGGCTGCGGTCTCAGGCCAGCACCAGCCCCAGCCCCAGCCCCAGCCCCAGCACCAGGGGACAGATGCTGGAATATGAATGACAGCTCAGTTGTCCCACTGAGACTAGGGAGCTGGTTCTTTAGGTGCGCACGCCAGGCAGACATTGGCCTCAGGGCTTTCCCAGTAGGACATACGCTCTCAGCCGTGTTTTGGGGCAGAGTGGCTCTTTGAAGTGAGTCACAGGTGCAGGCCAGGCATGGGCACAGGAAGCAGGAGGAGGGACCCTGGGGGATGGTCGGAGCCTGCCACCACAGACTTTCTGGGGCGAGGTGAAGATTACGTGGCACCGCTCACGGGAGCCCCAGCACAGTGCCGCCACACGGTGAGTGCTCAGAAGATGGGGCCTGTTGCTTTTCTCCGAAGGGCCCAAGAAGGCCATTCCGAGAGCCTGGGGTTCTGGGGTTCCGGGGTTCCACGCTGTGGTGGGACCTCTCTGCTCTCTGTGTGTGGGTCCTGTGCTCTGCTCCCCCACTAACCCTCACCCTTCCCTGGCAGCTACAGTCCATGGTGGATCTCCTGGAGGGCGCCCTGTACAGCATGGACTTGATGAGGGTGCACGCCTATGTCCACAAGGTGGCCTCCCAGATGGACACGCTGGAAGAGGTAAGGGCAGGGCATGGGCCAGAGGCCAGGCTGCTGCAGTGCTGGGGGCTGAGGGCAGTGTCAGCAGGGAGCCTGGGCCATTCTGTCTCAGCCCTGGTGGCTGTCGGGAGCTGGACTCCAGCAGCGAGAGGGGAGGGAGACACAGGCCACAGGGTCCCGACTGTGGGGCAGAGATCTGATGGGCTCAAGGGCCAAATGGCTTTGTGGAGAAACTGAGGCACCTGGCTGGGTCCTGCTGGTTGTATGAAAGGGAGGTGGAGGGGGCTGGAATTGCAGTTGTCCTCAGTTCACCAAGACCAGGGCCACTGTTGACACAAATGCCGCGTGAGCAGTGCCCCCTGAGGTGGTGCATCGGGGTGCAGGACTGGCGGCACCCACGAGGGGCCAGGCGTGAGGCACCTACCCTGGAGACGGAGGCGCTGAGCACCTACTCCGGGTCAGAGTGACTGTGCGGGAGGGTGGGCCAGCAGCTGGGACTGCCCCCTGAGGTCAGGGGCAGAGGCGGGCGAGCACGGGCTTCCAGGCCGCAGGTTCGAGGTTTGCATCTCCACTGGCACAGCCTGGCCTCCGCCTGTTTCCTGCATCCGGCCTCTGCTGGGAGCCTGGGGACCCGCAGCTGCCAGGAGCGGGCGTGGGGGCTTCCTTTCCCAGCTTCCTCTCCAGAGGGAGGGGGCACCTGGGCATCCTGTGCCCCTGGGTAGGAGATTAACCCCTTCCCAGACCTGAAGTTGAAGTCACAGTGGCTTTTAATTATTCAAAAAGCGTTTGGTGAGTATCCGCTATGTGCCCGGCCCATGCCAGCACGGGAGAAAGTAATAATGACTGGTTCCCACTGAGCACTGGCGTTTCCTGCGCACTGAGGACATGCCAGGCTCTCCCGTGGCCGGCTCTGCAGCCACCCTGTGCCCGTTCCTCTGGTAATCTAAGGAAACGTTAACTCGCTTCACATAACCGGGAGCAGCCCGTCCGGAGGGCATGTCTGCTGGGCCTGGGACAGATCAGAAGTGACTTCCTTCCACAGCCACATTTAAGAAGAGATTTCTAATTATCCTCTGTTTTGCATTATCTGTGCTTTGCTTCTGTTTGCTAAGTGATAATTCCATGGAGGAAAGATACTACTTTCTTGCTAACCTGGGAGGAGGGGAGAGAACAGCCCCCCTCGGGAGGAGCTGGCCCCCTCTGCTCTCTTCCCTGACCACAGAGGTTCTCGACCAGGGCCCGTTGTGCCCACCAGAGGACAGTTGGCAACATCTGGAGGAATTGGACTGTCGCAGTTTGGGGAAGGTGGGTGGTGGGTGCTACTGGCTTCTAGTTGGGTAGATGCCAGGGATGCTGCTAAACACCCTATAACGCACAGGACAGCCCCCCGCCCCAAACACAGCTGTCTGACGGATGTCAGCAGTGCGGAGGCTGAGGAAGTTGCCTTCTGCCATTTGACTCCTGCCTTGCCTGTGTTCTGGTTCAGAACTCACTTTCTTGTTCCCTAGTATTTCTGGTCCTCACAGTCACCCTGATAGGCAGTTGTCATTATGATAAAGACCCTCATTTAACGGGCAAGGAAACCGAGGCTCAGACGGGTCACGTCGCTCACCAGCTCCAGGCGACTCAGCCAGGAAGCAGAGAGCAAGGATTTGAACCCAGGTCTGTCCGACTCCTGCCTGCTGCCTCTGGGGCCCTGAATCTGTTCACACCCAGGTTGATCAGACATCAATCACTTGTAGGTTATCTTCTCCTCTGTAAAAATTCCTGTCCATGAAATTCAGAACTCAGAAGCTCCAGGGCTGTGCAGCAAAGAGGTGCTTCCTGCTTCTGACTCTAGCTTCACCTGCTTTGGCTGAGAAGTAGACTCAGACAAAGGAATTCCACACATACCCCAGACCTGCCTGGGCTTTAGGGACCTGGGGCTGATACCAGGCTGCCCAGCTTTCCTGAGTCCTGCCCAGTGGACAAGGCCAGCCCGGGCAAGAGCCCAGTGACAGGGACCCCTGGGTTACGGGGTCCATAGAGAGGAGCACAGAGATTCTGAGCAGTCCTGTGTCCAGCAGGATTCAGAACCGGGGGCCATGAGGAGGTCGGGGGGGCCGCTAAGGCCAGGCAGGCAGCATCTCCAGCCAGGGGAGACAGGCAGGTGGACAGGAGAAGAAACCTGGAAGTAAAAGCCGGGCGGTGCCGGAGGCGGAGCCAGCACCACCCTGGAGAGAAGTCAGAGGCTTGGGGGTCAGAAGGGATCCGAGTCTCACCCATGGCAAAAATCCAGTTTCATTGTTCGAGCATTTTATTAAAAGGTTTTTATATACTTATGTATCACTGGTGAAAGTAAAAGGTAGTTTTAAAGTAGCCAAAGGATGGTAGCAAGCTAAATCACGAATTCTCAGGGACTGACCAAGCACACTACGGCCGGTCCATGCCGTGTGGCCAGGGAAGGAGTGGCGAGCGCTGCACGTGCAGACGCGGAAGAGGTCTCAAGGGGGGCTCACGTGAGCAGGCAAAGTGTCCAAAAAATAAAAAGGAACCCAGAACAATTGGCTGAGAAACAAAGGTGGGAGGAAGATGTTTTTATACCCATTTGTACTTTTTAATTTAGTACTATGAAGATATTATATCTATTTTTCGCCCATTCACTCTTTAAATAAAAAATAACTACAGGGTCTCTTAGCAGCCGGCTTTTTTCCAGCCAAGCTCACGGGTGCTGGAAAAGCCCGTTGGCAGGTCCTGGGTGTCCCCCCCAGGACGAGGGGTGGGAGGCTGTGAGAGGAGGCTGGAAAGACCTCGGTCCCACCCCCACAGAGCATCAAGGCCAACCTGAGCCGGGAGAACGAGGTGATGAGGGAGAGCATGCGCCACCTCAGCGAGCAGATGAGGCACTACGAGAACCAGTCGGCCATCATGGTGAGCATCAGGAAGGAGCTCTCCAACCTGGGCCTCCAGCTGCTGCAGAAGGACTCCGCTGCGGCCCCTGCCGCCGCCCCAGCCACCGGCCCTGGTAGCAAGGCGCAGGTGAGACCGTGGCTCTGATTACGGCTGGGCTTCGGGGCACCGTGAGCCAGGTCCTCCCTGGGACTGGGCGGAGCAAGGGGGTGTGTGCACCACCGAAGCGTCCACGGCAGGGCGGGGTGCAAGCGGGGCCTGCTGTTCCGTGAGCACAATCGGCACAGCGAGCTGGGAGCAGACGTGGGGATCCAGCCAAGTGGTCCGTTCCCTGAGCCAGGCGTTTGGCAGAGTCCTCATTCCCATTTCCAAACCAGTGGGGACAAACCAGTGGGGACAAGGGCATAGAGATGACCCTCCCCGCCTGGCCCCAGGGGCCAGGTCTGCTGCAGCAAAGCACGTCCAGCCTCCCCTGCTGTTGCCGGGCCGCTGGCTGGGTCAGGCCTGCTCAGGGTCCGTCAGACAACGCCTCAGGGATCCCTGCACGCGAACACCACGTCCTCCAGCCAGCCTGGGCTGAAGGACTCCTGCAGCAAACCCTTAGACGTTCCATGTTCAAGCTCAGAGCTCAGAGTGAGCAGAGGTTTTGTCACCAGGAAAGCCACCCTTGACAAATAACACACCTTTGTGCAAATTTGACAAAGGCCCTCCAAAGGCAGGCAAAGTGCAGAAAAAGCTCTTCCTCAGGGAAGATAAATTAGAAAGAGGAGCCCCTTTGAGTGCACAGATTGTACAAAGGCACCTTCCTATGATGGACACGCATCAGAGCGTAGGGCTTGGCGAGTGGAGTAAGACTGTATCTTGGCTCCACTCATGGCCCTTCAGCCGGTCACCTGCGCATGCGCGGACCGTACCCGCACCGCCCTTGGCGTCCTTGTTTCGGGCAAGTGGGGGATGGAGGGAGCTGATGTTGTAGAACTCTGCGTCCTCGCAGACTTGTTCTCGGTTTCTCCCGTGACCACCTGCGAGGAGGGTGATCCTCGCCCGTTTGGCAGATGAGGAAACATGGAGTGAGGTCACAGGGGCAGAGGGTGTCTGCGCTGGGACCTGAAGGGGTTGCGTGTGCCTGCGGAGCCGCGCGCCTGTGTCATTGGCCACGGAGCCAGCGCGCTTTGTCGCCAGCCCCCAGCCTGCCGGCGGTGCCTGGAGGAAGCCTGGAGCCTTGGCCCAGAGCTGGCTTCCTGCTCGGGCGGCAGCCAGTTCCACAGGCGGGCGAGTCATGCAGAGGCCCAGATACCGCTCTCACCGTATCTCCTGAAGACTCTGCCTAACAATGGTCGGAGTCACGGGCCCTGTGTTCTCGTGCCAAGCCAGCAGCAAGGACATTTAAAAGGAAACGAAAACAGCAAAATTCACAAAACGTTAGAAACTGCATGCTCTAAGGGCAATGCCCTGGCGACCAGCCGTCCCAGGCCTGAGGGGTTTCCCAGAATGCAGGGCTTTCAGACCTCGAACTGGGGACGGTCCAGCCACACTGGGATGGGCTGGTCACCCCGCCCCCAGGGGCCTGAGAACCTCCCTCCGTCCGTGAACAGAGGCTGATGAGTGAGAGAGCCAGCATTGGAGAAGCAGACCTGCTGGCTGGCTCCCTCCCCAGGGAGCTGACCACTGTGGGCAGCCCCGTTAGGGGAATGACAGGAGTTAGGAAATAGGATAGGAATCCATCCAGTCAGGCTGGTCTTCAAGCCTACAGGGGATCGAGAGAGCTGAGTAGGGAAATTGAGGCACGCCCCAGTCATGGATGCACCCACTATGGGAGGAAAGCTGTGACCTGACGACCATCCGGGATGTACGGCCTAGGGCAGCGTGGCCACTCCAGCCCCCACCTGCGGAGCCTCCGTGACACCCCCCCACAACATCCCTTCTACCAGCCCCCAACTCTGGCACATCCCTTCTCTTCCAGGACACGGCTGGAGGGAAAGTCAAGGACAGCAACAAATATGGCAGCGGCGTACAGAAGAGCTATGTAGACAGGGCCCTCCCAAAACCTCCTAAGGAGAAGCTGCTGAAGGTGGAGAAGCTGCGGAAAGAGGGCGGCCAGGGCCGATTCCCCCAGCCCACAGGCAAGCCCCGGGCCCTGGGCCAGCAGCAGGCGGTGATCCGAGGCATCACCTACTACAAGGCGGGCAGCAAGGAGGTGACCGAGGCTGGTGAGTTGGAGGGGCACTGGAACCTTGGGGAGTGGGGGCTTGCGGGTGGACGGCCACACCCCAAGGATCTCGCACAGGGCTCCAGGGTATTCTCCTCAGCCCAGGGTTTCAACTCCACTGCTTACCTATTTGTTCGTGCATTGGTTACACAATGGCATACTGTTCCCTTGGGGACAGAATGATGTGACCAACACAGGGGCCACTCAATTCCTTCCCAGTATTCACAGCCATCTCTACCCTCACTGGACTTTTCCTCCTCCACTCAGAGATTTGCTGAAGGTCTACTGTGTACTTGCCGTGTCGCCCAGAGATTCTGCCTAATATGGAACCCACAGTCTAGTGGGAAAAACCGTGCCCACGACCAGACAGCTGCCAGTCTGGGGCGGGAGGGTGCAGGGGCCGCAGCCTGGCCCAGTCTCTGAAGAGTGACGTAGGCCCTTTGGGGCACCGCCTGTTTCCAGACTGGCCTTGGAACGGACGGCCTCCCCAGCACCTGCTCCCGCTTCTTATCCCCCCAGAGGAGCTCCCACAGGTGCCTATACTTTCCCTGCAGCATCTCGCCAGACCACGGTGAAGGATGATGACAGTGACCCACTGAGAAACAAGGGACAAGAGTCCCAAGAGCACCCAAATTGCAGGCCATCCCCACTAGCGTGGCTCCTCACTCTCCTCTGAGAACTACCCCCCCCCCCACCAGATGCCTGCTCTCCTCGGATGTCCCTGAGAAGTGTCCCAAGCCTGCTCCCCCTTCCTGGGCCCTGCTGACCACCTCCTCCCGTGAGGCCCCCTGCCCAGCCCATGTCCAAGAGCGCTGGGAGGTGGAACTGTGAGGAGCCCATCTGCTTCGAGAGTCCCCTCAGTTCTTGGTCTCTCAGGGCTCAGGGGCCTGTTCCCTCAGCGCCTGGTGCCAGCTGCTGGCCCTGCGTCCTGCCAGCTCAGCCTGGCCTCTGACCCCAGGCTGGGACACTGCCCAAGAACAGCTGCAGGCATCTGACGCTGCCAGCACAGCCCGTGGGAACAAGCCCCCTGCCCTGGCAGGCTGCCGAAGCCAGGCCCCCCAGAGGTCCCACTGACCAGAGGTATGGCCCGTTCCCAACAGACTCCAGAGGCTGCCCTGCAGTGGGACGCGGCTAAACCTTTGTGCAAAGAGGAAGCCCAGCCTGGAGAGTACAGGAAGGAATCAGGTCACTGTCCTAGAGTCAGGGACCTCCGGGCACCTGCTGGGGGCCACTCCGTCGCAGTAACCTTGGCGCCTTTCCTTTGGCCCTGGCATCACGGTTTTCTGAGTTCTTTCACCCTGTGTTGCCCTTGACCCAGGGGAGGAACCAGGCTCAGAGAGGTGAAGTCACTGGCTCCAGGTCTCACAGCGAGTTGTTGGGACTGGAACCCGGGTCAGCAGGCTGCAGAGCCTGCCTTAGACGCCTTCACAGCTCTGTCCCCAGAGCTGAGGAGTCTTTGTCCCCTGCTGTGTGGCACTGAGTCTTCCTGCTCCCCCTACCCAGACCCCACCCAGCCCAGCCAGGGAAGTGTGTGGGTCAGGGACCACCCAGATGGCTCCCAACCAGGTCCCATGCATTCAAAAAAGTCCTCCTGTGAGCAAAGCCCATGCCGGCAGGGGAGAGAGAAAATGGGGAGAGGGGTGCCGAGAGAGACAGGAGACAGGAAATAAGTGAGGGGACGGACCGAGACAGAGACCTGGGTTCCGGAAGCTGACAGGAAGTTGGGCGCACCTGCCCCTACTTGCTTGCAGGGTGGAATACTGGGTAAGAGAAAGCAGGGGGTGGGCTCCAGGGGGCAGGGCTGGGAGGAGGTCTGGGGATGGCTCTCTGCCTCCTGGAACTGAGCCTAGGAAGTGAGAGAATCGGTCCAAGGAGTTTGACAGAAAGGAAAGGGGTCTTGCATTCAGCAGAATCGGTGCGAGTGTTTTGTGTGAATTTTTCTCTAATCAACAACAGCCTAACGCGGTGGGCCTCGCGACTCTCATCCCACCGAAGGGAAAGCCACTTGGCCGGGGGGCTCGAAGCAGGCCTGCAGACCACAAAGCCCACTTTCCCAGGCCGTTCGCTCCCCAGGGCCTCCCCTGTCCACTTCCCAGGGCCCCAGATCAGGGAGCCCACTGGCCTGGGGAGGACCCCAGGGAGCAGCAGGTGCAGCGAGGATGTGAGCTCAGGGTCTTCTCTCCGCAGACAACGCCCTCCTCAGGGGCACTTCCTGGCTGGAACAGCTGTCGCCCAGGCTGGAGGGCAGGCCACCCGAGCCCAACTCTGAGAAGGCTGGGCCCAAGGCCTCCGAGGGAACGGACTTGGCCCCTGACACTCCCTCTTCGAACCCAGCCATCACCCCCACCCCCGCCACCAGTCCCCTGCCCACTGAGCCACCTTCCCACCCTTCAGTCCCCAGCCAAGGTGAGTAAGCCTCTAGGTCGGCAGGCTCCTCCCCTGCCACGGGCCAGAGCCAGCCTGCAGCCCGTGTTTGCAAGCCTTGGAGCTATTGGTACATGTTTAAAGGGTTGTAAAAAAAAAAAAAAAGAGAGAGAGAGAGAGAGAAGATGGGGCCAAAGTATGTGGTCTGGGAAGCCTAACATGTTTACTATCTGATCCTTGACAGAAAAAGCCTGACAACATTTCCAGTGAAACCAGTAGCGTTTTCAACAAGTTCTTTTGTAAAAGTCCCCTAGAATCCCATCATCAAATCCAACAGCTACTATCTTCACATCTTTCTCTCGTCTGTCCAGTGTTTGGCTCTGTTTTTAGGTCAACATTTGTCGATTTTGGCTTGTGCCTTTTGGTAGAAGTCCTCCTCATGAAATCACCACGCCGCGCCTTCTGAAGGGCATCCTGGCTGCTGGGGCCGGGAGCCACGCTGGGTCCAAGGGCGCTCCGTGTTTAGGGATCTTCCCTAAGGGTCTGTCAGCCACTTGGGCAGCAGCTGCAGCTTAACTGGTTTCCCCGCAGCCTGTTCCTAATGCCGGGAAACAGGACAGAAGCTAAGGGTCTGACACGGAGGGGTCTGGCTTAGGAACTTCGAGGGCACGGCTGTCTGGCGGCCTGGAGAACCCTAAAATCACGTCACTGAAAGGCCAGTTAACGATGGGACAAATTGCTCAGTGGAGGGAAGGAAAAAAAAAAATAGACCGGGCCCATGAAACTGTGTTCAGAAGGACCGTAGGTTTGAAAGTACGTCTGCACGACTAGACGTGTGAAGAGAAGAAAGGAAATACAACACGTTAGAAAATTTCTTTAGATAGTAGGATTTCAAATGAGTTTTATTTTCTCCTTTTCTGAACGTTCCGCCTTTTTGCAATGTTCAGACATTGCTTTGATCGTGAGGGAAGAAAACACCAGCCCTGGCTGGAATAGCTCAGTGGATTGAGCGCAGGCTGTGAACCAAAGCATTGCAGGTTTGATTCCCAGTCAGGGCACATGCCTGGGTTGCAGGCCAGGTCCCCACTAGGGGACGCATGAGAAGCAACCACACATTGATGTTACTCTCTCTCTCTTTCTCCCTCCCTTCCCCTCTCTAATAAATAAATAAATAAATAAAATCTTAAAAAAGAGAAAGAAAACATGAAAGGCTTTGAACAAAAGGTCAGGAGGGATTTAAGCTAGACCCCGAGAGCGCGCCCAGGACTGTGGCTCTGACTGGGGCGGGGGCGGGGGGGCGGCGTGCGTCTGAGTGCCAGCCCCCGCACCCCTCGCTCCCCACAGGCAGAGAGGCCGGCTGCGAGGGTACCCTCCGGTCCGTGGACCCCCCGGTGAGGCACCACAGCTACGGGCGCAACGAGGGAGCCTGGATGAAGGACCCCGCTGTGCAGGACGACAGGATCTACGTCACCAACTACTACTACGGAAACAGCCTGGTGGAGTTCCGCAACCTGGAAAACTTCAAGCAAGGTCGGGGACCCTGGAGGTGGGGATGGGGTGGGGGTGGGTGGTCTGGGGGGAGGCCCCCGTGGAGACTCGGCCCCCTCGCCTTGTAGTTTCCTGTGATCCAGACTTCCCCAGCCTGGCCTAGCTCCGAATGGCCGGCCAGCCCGGGAAGGGGCATCTGGGGCACCCCGAATTTGCTAGCACTGTGTCAGGGGTTGGAATGCCCCAGCAAATGAGATAGACATGGCCCTGCCCTCAGGGGTGTAACTTACTGCCAAGGGAAATAATCCTTCTGGTTTCCACTAGTGCTTATTCTGTGCTGATCACCTGTGTGAGTCAGCTGTGTTATCTTTATAACTGCGGGAGGTAGGGGTTATCGCCCTGCCTTAGAGCTGAGTGGGGCCCCAGGCCTTAGAGGAGCTGCAGGTCTCGGCAGGGAAGGACAGAAGTTTGGTTATCAGATCTGGGGCATGGTGGGGGAAGGGGTCATTGAGGCAGGACCCACGCTCCAGAAATGCACAGTCTTGTGTGGGAGGCAGAGACGCAAAGCAGCGATTTGACCAGAGTGTTAGAGGGAGAACTCAGGGGGCCATGAGAGGCCAGTCTGGAGATCAGGGAAGACTTCCCAGAGGAGGTGACGCTGAGCTGAGCCCTGGAGGAAGAGCAGGAGGGAGAGGAAAATGTGTTCCAGGCAGAAGGCCCAGTGCGTGCCAAGGGTTGGCAATGAGAGGACTTGCGGTGGCACAGGAGGGGGGAGGGTACAGTGGGAGAGGAGGCTGAGGCAAGCCTTATGTGCCACATGAAAGAGTTTGGACTCCCCCTGAGCTGTGGTGTCACAGGGTATTGATCCCGAACAGCTGAAGTCCTTCCTCCGCCAGATCCAACTGACCCGGCCCCTGCCTCAAGGGGCGCATAGGCTGGCGCTGGAAAAGCCAGGGAAAGGTACCAAGACAGAGGGTTATGGGAAGCCAGAGCAGAGGCCCTCACTCAAGGTGGGGAGATCAAAGAGGGCTTCCTGGAGGAGGTAACATTGGCCCAGGGCTCTGAAAGATAAGGAGGCATTCCCCAGACCAACAGGACAGGGAATGGCAGTCCAGACAGAAGGAATAGGGGCTGGCGTCAGCTGGTTTCTGCGTCCTGGCTGTGCCACTCCATCACTGGTGACCCTGAACTCCCTGAGCCTGTTTCCTCCCCAGCAGATGGGTTACTGGAAGTCCTTCCTTCACTGGCGGCCGGGATAAGATGTCTGGCCCAGCCCCAGACTCACAGAACACTCAGAATCTGGCTTGCTGAGCCACTCCAGAGCCCTGGGCAGCCTCCATGTCCCTGGGTGGGCTGAGGGTCACCAGAGGCCTTGGTGTGACCAGCCGCCCTATGCACGCAGGCCGCTGGAGTAACATGTACAAGCTGCCCTACAACTGGATCGGCACGGGCCACGTGGTGTACCAGGGCGCCTTCTACTACAACCGCGCCTTCACCAAGAACATCATCAAGTATGACCTGCACCAGCGCTTCGTGGCCTCCTGGGCGATGCTGCCCGACGCCGTGTATGAGGACACCACGCCCTGGAAGTGGCGCGGCCACTCGGACATCGACTTCGCCGTGGACGAGAGCGGCCTGTGGGTCATCTACCCCGCGGTGGATGACAGCGACGGGGCGCAGCCCGAGGTGATCGTGCTGAGCCGCCTGGACCCCGGCGACCTCTCCGTGCACCGCGAGACCACGTGGAAGACGCGGCTGCGACGGAACTCCTACGGGAACTGCTTCCTGGTGTGCGGCATCCTGTATGCCGTGGACACGTACAACCAGCGGGACGGCCAGGTGGCCTACGCCTTCGACACGCACACGGGCACCGACGCCCGCCCGCAGCTGCCCTTCCTCAATGAGCACGCCTACACCACCCAGGTCGACTACAACCCCAAGGAGCGCGTGCTGTACGCCTGGGACAACGGCCACCAGCTCACCTACACGCTCCACTTCGTGGTCTGAGTGGGGCCGGCGCTCGCAGGAGAGGATGGGCAGTGGACACAGGGGCTCACCATAGCGACTCCCGCAAGGGACTCCGTCAGCAAATACTAGTTGGGGACCAGGCCGGGGGCTAGGTGCTATGGCACGTGAGGCAGCCGGCCAAAGCTTCCCGAGCACCGGGTGGAACCATCGGTGCCGCCACTTGCAGAGCACTGCGCCGAGAGCGTCACATGCACTGACCCGCTGTGTCCTCCCGACAGCATGCTTGGAGGCAGAGACAGTTAAGCCCATTTAACAGGTGAGAACACTGAGGCTCAGAGAGACAAGGTCCGTTGCTTGAATAGCCTCGGTTTGGATCAGGCAGCATGCTGCCACCACAGCCCCACTTTACAGACAGACTTGACCGTGCTGTCCCCTACGCATACCCCACTCCCCCCTAATCTGTCTTGTTCTGGCAACTCTGTCTCCTTCCCCAGGGCTTCTGGAAATCAGAGGCCTTCAGAACCGAGGAAGGGACTGATGTCAGGTGGAGGCCAGGCTCTGGGTGCCACCTCGGGCCCCGTTCATGCTGAGCTGTTGGTGGCCCTGGGCTTCGGGCCCCTTGGCTAATGTCCCTGCTCCTTGCCTTTGGCCAGCCCTCCCTGCTTCCCCACCCGCTGTCCAACCACATTCCAAACCTCCATGGTCACCCAGCCACCAAGTAGAAACCACACCCCAAGAAAAAAAAACCCAGCCCCCGATCCAAGAGCCCCTCCCTCTGCACTCATTGCGATTTTCTCTTCCTTGTCAGTGCCGTCACTTGTTTCTGCCGCAGCAGCTGAGAAGGCTGCAGGCAGCTGCCTGCCAGCCACGACACTACCCGGGTGGGGAGCTGGGCCAGGCCCCAAGGCTCCCTCTCCACCCAGGAGTGCTGCCTTTGGCCACATACCCAGACCATGAGACCGCTCCCCGTCCCCTCCCAGAGCCTTTGGGCCTGGGGTCTACCTTGACCTTTCTCTCTGGTCCTCTCAACCCACAACCTGTGTGTACTCAGGGATTCCTCCAGGTCTGCCGTGAGCAAGACCCTAGGCCTGAGGCCAGGGTGGGGCAGGAATGAAACAGCTTCCCTCTTCCTTGTCAGTCCTGACCTGGGCATTAGGTGGAGTGGCCGGCAACAGGGGGGCCTGGGGGATGCTGAGATCCAAGCAATCGGGTCCAGGAGAGGCATTGGACCTTCTGGTCACAGGGAACGGCCAGAGCCCTCCTCCTGGCTTCAGGGATACTGGTGCCAGGGCGGCCCCGAGCACAGTGCCTGGGGCTGAGGCTGCACTGATGGGCCCCCCACACAGCGCTGCTGGCAGCTCCCTGAGCCTCAGACCCAGGCAGCCAGACCCGCAGGCCTGCCCCTCACCTGCTTCGGGCAGTACTGTTAGAGCTGGGAAGAAACAGCTCCCTCTTTCACCGAAGAAGAAATAGGCCCAGAGACGTTTGGAGAGTGGCTCGGAGCCCCACTGGGAACAGGATACAGCCAATTCCTTCCAGAAGGTCTTTGTCTCCATCCCTTACTCCCCTCGCCTAGAGGCAGTTCTGCCTGAGAGGGCAAGGGCCTACCCAACACCCAAGCCACCCCACAGCTCTGAAGGGCATTTCCTTCTGACCCCTGCACACCACCCAGACCCCGCTCCCCTCGCTCTGGCCCCACGCCAGCGCTGGATGCACGTACGCCCGAGCACCGGTTGCCATGGTGGGAGATCTAGCTGCGTACCTAGGAGTTCAAGGAAATGCATTCTGTGCAGAACACATTTCTTTGTACCATCGGGTGATCTTGTATCGTCAGGCATTGCCAGGTGACGTCGTTTTGTCGAAGCGGTAACCCACCCCTGAAATAAGGGAGGATGACGTCGCCCAGTGGAGCAAGGCCTGACTCACGGCGGGGGACGCACCCAGCCTCCCCTGCCCACCCGTCCCCGCTCCGGGCGCAGGCTCTTCAGGGGGCTGCGTTTCCTCTGGCTTTGGGTGTGGGTTTTATAAGACTGTGTCTTTTATGATATCACAGCCCAACCATGTGAGCAGTGTTCGTGCTCCTCTCTCTCCACTAATCGAGAAAAGGGAAAGGGAGAATGGACCAGTTTTGCAAAGTGAAAGTGCAAAAGCAACGTTGTTGTCTGGGGAGATGGTTCTGGCGGCACCCTCCGAACGGCACTCAGCCCCTCGGGCCCCGGCACGTGGGCTATGCGGTAGCAGCAGGGACAGTCCTCGTTTTACAGGTGGTCAAACTGCAGCCCGGAGAAGCTGAGTCACTCGTCATGTGGGTGGTTAGGTGGAGGGCTAGCTTCCAAAGTCAGGTAACGGGACCGACCACCTTCATCGTCCGAACATCAGCAGTGGGTGCCGAGCACGCCACGTGCTTACATTTCCATAGCAACAGAAGGTGTGCACTCCGAATGTGTCCATTTCACAGATGAAGACACTGAGGTGGAGGGACTCACCCAAGTCCCTTCACAGAGCAGCTGAGTCTGCGGCAGAGTTGGCTTTCCAGGGCTGGTCGGCACCTTTTCTTTGCCGCCCGTGTGCCTCTGTAATAGCAGCTCCAAATGGCGGCCTTGGCTTTTATTCAGCGTGGCCAGACCGCAAACTACATCCACGTGTGACCCAGGAAAGAGGTTTGGGTCAGCTGGTAAACAGCCTCGAATGCCAAGCCGAGGAGTAACTGCCTCCCATCACATTTGGAACAAATTAACAGAAAAGCAATCTCTGGGTCAATTGCATTTATACCGAAGCCCCAAACTAACTGTTCATTGTTAGGGATCTTGTAAGCTGTCATGTTTTTTGTTTCGTTTTGGCCACTGGGAAGCTCAAGGTCAAATTTGATATTATTTTGAACAATTGTACTGAGTCTCCCACTGGACTCTGGCTTCATTCTAGCCTCCTGCTTTTACCTTGACTCTAACCTCTTTGTTTTTATTCTATTGTATCTGTTTGTGTAAGTTGCCACAATATCTTTTTTGCAACAAGGTGGCATATACCTAAATAAATACATGATCACAAGCTTGATTTAAGACCTTTGACTAAATGCCACGGGCTACAGTCCTTATCCGAACACAGACAATCAACAACTTTTTAAAAATATTTAGTTCGCCATGAGACTTGGCCTTGTCACCTCACTGTTGCTGGAAAGTGATCTGAATAGTGAACGAGGGCGGAAGAACCCAAGTCCGGCCGCAAACCTGACCCTCCCGGGCCGAGGAGAAGTGACTCGCTCCCATTCCCAAGACGTTCAGACGCTGCCCTGCAGCGCCCCCTTCGCCTGTGCAGAGAGGGAGGGCGGACCTACGCTTGCTCCCTGAGGGAGAGGGGGGCGAGGGGAAGAAATGCTTTCCTGGAAAAGGGCATCATGGCATTGGGGGGGCCCCTTGAGCATCACTTCGTCCGTGTTCCCCAAACCTGAGTTATTTGCATACAGACCTCCTTTGAGGTTCCTTTTTTTGTGCAGCGTATGTGTCGAGGTCGTCCATAAGTCGGGTTCCATGTGGAAAACTCTAGAATGCAGTCTCGGATCGTGAAGGCTGGGAGCAGGCAGGATATTCCTGGTGACTTTCTCCACCCTGCAGTTCTGTGGAAATGAGAACACCCAGCAACTGGCTCAGCAGAGAATGCGGTGGCCTTTCTGTCATCTGTGGCAATAGCAGTGCACACGGTGCCGGACTCGACAGGCACGCAGCTCTGCGCCTCAGGTCAGGGTTCAAGGCCGCTCAGTGGCTGGCAGAGGCCAGAGGCTACAGAGTTCACTGGGTTTGGGGACCGGATGGAGTTCTCTCTCACCCTTAGCAACCTGGCCCACGGCGTTCCCTGCCAGAGGGGGCCATGGCAATACTTGTGCGGCTTTGTAAACCCCGAGGGGGATGGCCAGCGCGCTGAGGGCACCCAGGAAGCTGTAGCCACTGCTGGCATTGTGACTGGTCCTGCACTCCTCCAGTTCCCCTGGCAGTCCATGTCACGCACTGTGGGCGATCCAACATGACTGTCACCCCTGTGCCGGCCACAGGGGTGCCGAGCTGAGCAGGTCTCACCCCTCTGCTGAGACCTTGCTGGGAGGTGGGGGAGCCTGGGGGCCACCACCTCCGCATGGTGGCCCTGTGGAGCGGAGGACCCGGAGGGGCCCCACGTGCCTTGCTAAGGAGCGTGGGCTTCTCTTGGAGCCACAGGAGCCACGGAGAGACGGACACCTCCCAACACGCCTCCATGTGGGAGCAGAGCCCCCTCTGGTCACCTCCAGTGCTGTGGTCCTCAAAGGGGACTCCTCTCCACCCTTCTGACATCCTCCCTGAGATGTCAAGCCCTAAAATCTCCCCTTGGCTACAATGAGAAGGGAAGAAACAGCCATAACTAGCCAGGGGAACTCTCTCGGATATTGTAGCATCTGAGCGAGTGCTCCAGGCCAGCTGCGGGGCCCAGTCTTCTCGGCACTATCTCACAGAGCCCTCCCAATACCCATGACGGAGGCTCTGTTGCTGTCCGGACCTTACAAATGGGGAAACTGAGGCACCAACTGCTCCATCACATGTTCTGGGCTGGTGGTGGCTGAGCTACAGCACTAGCCTCTCAAAACATCACATCAGTGGTTCCCAAGCCCGCCTCCAGCTGGAGTCACTGCGATTGATTTAAAAGGTTCCCTGCCGGCCCTGGCTGGTATAGCTCAGTGGACTGAGTGTGGGCCTGTGAACCAAAGGGTTGCTGGTTCAATTCACTGTCAGGGCACATGCCTGGGTTGCAGGCCAGGTCTCCAGTGCGGGGGCAGATAAGAAGCAACCACACACTGATGTTTCTCTCCTCTTTCTCCTTCCCTTCCCCTCTCTCTAAAAGTAAATAAGTAAAACCTTTAAAAGGTGCCCTGCCCGGGAGTCACCAGGACAAGGAGTGAGAGCTGCTGTGTTTTAAAAAATGCCCCCCAGGAGGTTTTGCCATGCATTTGAGGTCGAGGGCTCCTGCCCCTCTCGGGCTCCTGCCCCTCGGGCTCCTGCGGCTCAGAAGGAACACCCCAGGTGTGACGCGGGAGGGGTGGGGCGGTCAGATGCCAGGCTGCACCCAGGAAAGCTCCATCGCCCGGGCTGTCCCAGAAGAGGAAGCAGAGAGAGCGAGGGCGTGTGTCAGCTGTTTCTCCGCAGGGGAGCGACGGCAGGCGTGGGTGGGCTCCTGGCCCAGAGCACAAAGGCTCCCTCTGCCCCAGGCAGCGCCCAGACGCTGCCCTGCTCACCCAGGCCAGTCTGAACTCTGCCTACGTCTGGGGCCAGCCTCCCGACCCCCCACATTCCAGCAGGGACCCTGTGAGGCGGGAACAGATGGGGCTTTCAGGATGCACGCCTGCCGGGGGATGAATTACTACCGAGAATTATCTGCCATGAGCACGGGGTGGCATTTCACGTGCCAAAGGTTGTCTGGCCCCTCCCCGGCCCTGGCTGCTTGGCTCCAGGGCCCTCATTCCAACTGCGCGAGGACAGAAACTTTATTCTCTCCCACTGCCAGAGGCCTCCGCCCCTCACCATTTGTGCGGCACCCCTCAGCCGGCCCCCACCCCAGCCCCACCCAGGGCCCAGAGCCTCCCTTTTCCACAGCTCAGCACGGAGTGGATTAGATAAGGGTGATTCAGAAGTCAAGTTTCCCAGGTCTTTTTAAGCCGGGGATTTCTATCGGCAGGGAAAGTCATTGTTACCGAGATGTCAGCCCCAACCTGTTCGGGCTTTTCTGCATGAGGCCCTGACAAGTGCAGGCCGCTGGTTCAGTGCGCACGAGCTCCTGCTGGAAGGAGCCGGGGCTTTTGGAGCCAGACGGATCCTCGGTTTGAGTCCTGGTCCTGCCACCTGCTTGAAGCCTCCGACCTCAACTTCCCCATCTGTAGAATGGGGATGACAACCTCGCCCTCCCAGGAATGTGGTGGGTGGAAACGAGACAATGGGCATGAAAAAGCTCTCGGCAAAAATGCGGACAGAGGGCACACAACAGGTGAGGCCCGGTGACTGAAAGGGGCCTCAAAGGCAAATGTGGGGCCTCCCCCTCGCTCCCATCCCCGGGCCTCAGGCTGGGGGAGCCCCAACGTGAATCGCCAGCGAACCCAAGTGTAACCACGAAACTGACGACTCTCTTTGCCTTCTATAGCGGAGAGCAGCGAGGGCAAATTTCTTTCACGCCGTGTGCCTGCTCAGATGGGCTGGGAGCGGCTGTCGTTGGCAGCTACGCACCAGACCCAGGGCGGACACTGAGCGAGTAGCCACGTCTGCCGTGAGAATGAGAAGCTCGGGTGGTGGGATGGATGCTAAATTCGCCATTTCTATGTTGTTTTAGGGCAAAATCTAGATAACCCTTCTCACTCTGGTTTTTGCCTGGCTTTCTGTGCCAGTCACCACACTGATCTCTCTGCTTCTCGCCACCCTCTGATCCCCCACTTCAGCTGCTAGACTGAATCTGAGAATGAAAACCTGGCCATTTCGCTCCTTCACCGGTCGCTGTCCCGTGGCCCCGCCCGTGGCTCTGAGGATCGAACCGTGCTCCCAGGGCTGACATTCAAGGCCTCCGCTGGCCCTCCCAGTTTCATCCATGGCCACTCACTTCCAAATACCCCAACCACAAACCCCATCGGCCTGAGGATCTTTAAGAACCAAGATGTGATTTTCCTGGCTGGCGTAGCTCAGTGGACTGAGCACGGGCTGCAAACCAAAGTATCGCAGGTTCGATTCCCAGTCAGGGCACATGCCAGGGTTGCAGGCCACGGCCCCCAGCAACCGCACATTGATGTTTCTCTCTCTCTCTCTCTTTCTCCCTCCCTTCCCTCTCTAAAAAAATAAATAAATAAGTCTTAAAAAAAAAAACCAAACAGATTCTGTTTAAAAAAAAAAGGACCAAGATGTGAGGATTGGAGGACGTCTGGAAAGTCAGACTGAAAGCCGGTGCCCAGACTCACAAGATCAGATGGAGATTGGAGGGACAGCCCCGAGACCTCACTGCATTTGGTGAGCAGCTTGCCCAACTGGAAGGAGCTGGAGAATTTCCAATGAGCACCGAGTGCAGCTCAGTGGAGCCGTCACCCCGCTCACCCCGAACCACGCTGGTGGGATCAGTCCCGAGTTGCCCCTGCAGGGCGGGGACTTTCCCTCCTCTCTCTCCTGGTTGCCCATTGCAAGACGAATCCCTTTGTCAGCGAGACACGGGGCGGAGGCTTCCAGGCACTGCTGTGTGCAGAGCCTTTTCGCCCAGGGTCCAGGCATGCACGAGGGTCCCTGCCCCACCGGAGGCCAGTGGGGCTCCTCCCCGTTCCCTCTCAGTTCCCAGCTCTCGCTATTCCCCCGATATTTCGATCTCCCAGTTTACAAAGTCGGACCCTGCACTCTCGCTCTGGCCCGGTGTGGGGATGAGCCTTGGGGATTCGGATAGGGCGCGGCGGGCGTGTGCACTGGATGGACGTGGTCAATGAGTCTGGCAGGAAGGGGCGGTGGTCGAGCCTCACCCTGCACTGCACAGCCAGGGAGCGAGGATCTCATGAACAAACCTCGGTCTGTTTCCGCAAGATTAGCATCTCTGCCGAAGTCACTAAGGAAGAGTCCGGGCTTGTTGAAGACACAGCCATCTGAATGAGTTCCTTGAGGGAAAATAGCTTCTTTAAAGAAAAGCATCCAAACAGGTTTTCTTCTTTCTTTTTTTCTGTTCAACTTTTTCCATTGACGTAATGTTGAAGTTACAGAAAAGTTACAAGAATAGCACAAAGGATTCCCATATACTCTCTCCCCAGATTCACCGATTAGTCACGTTTTGGGACATGTGCCTTTTCATTCTATCTGGGTGCCTTTTTTCCTAAACCATTTGAGGGGAAGTGGCAGACATGATGCCCCTTTCCCTCTAAAGACCTCAGTGTCTACTTCCTGAGAACATGGGCATTCACAGAACCACAGTACAATGAGCAAAATCAGGAAATTGAATGTCAATGTAATGTTACATCTAGCCCCAGCCAGGTAGCTCAGTTGGTTAGAGCATTGTCCCAACACAGCCCAAGGCCATGG